CACTCATCTGCATTTCATAATGCTGAGAAAAATTATGAAGAATGAAACTAACATTTATGAATGACAGGAATCACCACAATTAATGGTTGTATTTGGGTGCATACTACATTTCTTTTCCATGAAAAAACAGAGCTGAAAAGTTCTGTTTGTTAGCAGTATCATCTAATGTTGTAGACTATCTCATAAGCAACTGAATTGAAGGTAAATGACATAATTTTTTAAAGCCTTCAAATTATCCTGGAGATAGCCAAACCACTCATTAAAAGTGTAAGATATTATCAAATACACTGAAAAAAAATTAAAAATGAACTAAAATAATATGCATTACCTTACCTGTGTAACCTTTTCTGTTACATTGTGCGTTCGGTCTTTCACCTTAGGTGCAATAATTGCTTTCTCCGAAGAAGGAGGAGATGAAGATTTTTTTTCACTTTTGATATCTGAAAAGTTCAGTGTGAGTTGAGGAATTTTGTTGATTGTACTGTATTTGTTGAGATTCGAATCCGACGTGGATCCCAACAGACTGGACTTGATATGATTAAAAGGCCCTAAAAAATTGGAACACATATTTAGTATCTGGGAAATGAAGAGAAATAAATTATCATTAATGCTTAGGTGGGATATGTTAAAAGGGTGATTAAAAACTATTTTTCAGTATACTCCTTGTTAATAATAAAAACTATCTACATTTAAAAAATAACTCTATTGCTAGTAAGGTTCAAATCTAATATTGCCTATAAATATGACATTTCCTTTACATATAACCCTCAATATATTTTTAAAGTTGATGTATTCAAAATTGCATAGTGCATCTATCCTCACTTGTTCTCATGTTACTGGGAATGCTGCTGTGCTCTTATTATAGTTCTGGCTGAATATAAAGACTATATGCTCATTTGTTTATAAGAGCAGAAATAGGACTCATGATTATATAAGAGTGACTGGAATTAGTGAAGGCTCTATTATCACATCCCTACCTTGCTTATGCTCATGACCAAATTCAAAGAAACTGGAAAATTGAGTAGACTCTCAAAATATGTTTCTTCACATGTCATTGCTAACAAAATATTGGAAACTATAGGGATACTCATAGGTAGAATATTAACAGTATATATAACCTTATACTATTTTAGTGCATCATGACAAAAATACAGAATTTTCATACTTCATGAGGTGCTATCCTTTATATATCCTTCCATATTCTTTTCATTATTGGACAGAGTTGTTTGAACAAGAAAGCAATATAAATGATCAGAATACTTGTTTTGTACTGTCATAAGGTTCATTGGGAAGCCAAAAGTATTCATTGCAAGGAAAAGTTGCTTTTGAGAACAATATTGGAAAAAAGAACTATAAAGATGTTTAGGCAGTGAGAGCTAAATCCACTTAGGGATTTAAGAAAAAAATCCAGGCCTTGCAGTCAGTAATAATGTCCATAAAGTGTGGGATTGAAGGGTATTTCTTAGACCCACATGAGAACCTTATTTAAGGTTGCCTTAATTCTATTAAGGGTGTCAGTGTGATGCTTTTCTCTCTTTCTTCTTTTTGAGGTTTTCTTTTGTTTTCCTGAGAGGAAAACAAGAATGCGTGTGTTGATTCAGGAACAGTCAATGGGATAGGACTAGGCCTATGGAATAAATTGCAAAGTCACCAGTGGAACAGCTGATTTTATTTGCAATGTGAGAATGAATGAAATTCAAAGCAACCAGCTGCTTGGGGATGGCTCTGGGGAAATGCTTCATGCTGTGCTGATTTATTTTTTTTTTTGAAAAATTCTTTAAGTGAGGGTTGATTTTTCATCACACCTGGCTTCAAGTGCTTGCTGAAGAAGCAGACATTTAATTTTCTTCTGAAGCTTATAAGGATTTACACAGGTTTTCTATCTCCTTAAATCATGATAATTGTATGTTAATCTGGGCCACAAATAGAAAATCTCTATTACTCCATTTCAAATTTTGCCACAGTGCAAAAAGGAATTTAAGATGACAAGGGAGGGCATGATGCTCTAGACTAAAAGTTTGGGTGCAAAAAAGAATTTGTGCCTGAGTTCTCTAACCATTAAACGATAAAACAGTCCTTTTTCTTCTACTGTATTTTTTTTTTTTTTTTGTGGAACAGCTTCATTGGAAAAGATAAGAACCTGCACCTTTCACCTGCAAGGAATGTTAAAAAAGCCTGGTACTGAGGATACCACCAAGGGATTGTGATACTATACTTAAATGCCTTTTGGCCCAGTTGGTACCTGAATCTATCTTTCACATCATCTATATGAGTAAACTAAAAATTAGTCTTCAAAATATATCAGGGCACACAAAATCTCCTCATGAATCAGTGAAGTGACTAATGTGGCTATTGTACATGTGGTCAGACTGCAGATTTTCAGTCCTGCTTCCCTATTTTAGCAATAGTTTCTGAGTGTTGAATCAGTTCAGTAAGCAGATATCAAGTTAAAACCATTTGTCAGATTAACAACATTCTTGATACCTTAGGAATTCAAAAGTAAGAGAAAACTAAGATAGTTTAGGCAAACCTGCTATTAAATAGTAGGCAAGATTTTGTTATGTTAGTAACTTTACAGATGCTTAAATTGCATTGAACTTTTGGTTTCTGGGATTTACATCTTTTATTGCTTTCATTCCAAAAGGGATTACTCTCTCTTTTGCTGATACTCGTGCCCTAGAACATGATACTAGGCTTAAATTCATGCACATGAGAATAAAACCTTGCTTCTTTTACCCCACCTTCTTTTGCTTTAGAGAGTGGTGAAAGGTATAATGCACCTCATTGACAATGGTAATTGATTGAAAGACTTAACTATTAGCTTAAAGAAAGATTGAAAGACTAAGTATTAGCTTAAGTACAGCCTTGGCAGAAATTGAGCTGGTACTTGACAGCTAGTGGACCATTGCTATATTTTCATAACAGGAAGCAGAAAAGGAAGGCCATAACAAATCACAATCACAACTGATACTAATTGGCACCCTGACTGACAGTTTCAACGGAGAGGCAGAGAATTGAATAAGCAGGGAGAATGAATTGCTTCTGCCTAGCCTAAAAAGGAGAATATTGCAGGTTAAGTTTGAGCTCCCCATTTTTATGGTAGGATTTCATCATCCTTGCTTATACAATGCATTGAGAAATGATTTCACTCTCCTGAGCTGCCAATTCATCATCTTTCACCAGCAGTAACATTTCTAAAAGTTATTGTACAGCACAGAAACTGCATGTTTTTAACCCAAGATTTTGCCAACATAAACATGAAGCAAATGAAATGATTTTGTAGTCCACAATTTTTTTTTACAGAATCTAGGTCATGCACTGCATGCAGTTTAGAGAGTTTTTACCAGGTACACACACTTTTTGCATCATGCATGAAGTAACAAATCAGTTTTCCCACAGATACAAATATGACAATTAAACTGAACACTATAGTAAGTAATCAGAAATGGAGGAAGTAATTTATGGATTATGTTCAAATTTCTCCTAAAACATGTAGCTCAATGCTGGTGAAAAGAAACAGTTTTGTAATTGCACTAAATATTACTTAAACATAAAATTGGCAATGAAGTTCATGCATGCACATTTTGATGCTACAGGAAGCTTGAAACCATACCCCCTGCCATCCAGGAACGTGAAACTAGTTTTAAAAAGACAAAAGAGGAGTAAGTGAAGATATTTCCACAAGGGTCCTGATTATCAGTTATTTAATGTTTGAGAGTTTTAACTGAAATCTAAGCATCTTGTAACAACAGTTCATTTGCTAATGTCCTCGTACAATCACACATCCTTTTACAGGTAAAACTGCTGGTAGCTTCAGCAGAAGTTTTGACTGCTTAGGGACAACAGCACTGAGTTACGTAACTATGATATGTTCTACTTCCCTCTCTTCCTTTTTTTGAATTAACAAATAATTAAGTTAAAAAGCTGCTTAACTATGCGTTCATTTTTTCTAGGGATTCATAGTTCGTGCTTTGAGACAAGAGTTCCAGGAATAACTACATGTTTAACAAATATAATTTATGTAATATACCTAGCCTTAGAGAGGTCAACATGAGAATGTTGCATTTGAACATTTGAACATTTCATACAGCAGACAAAGTAACATGCCAAAAAGTGTGGCTGATTGAAACACTGGAAGGTACAGTCTAGATGTATACTTTACCTGTGACATTGCGACCATTGTCTGGTTTTCAGCATAATAAAAGTGAAGAAAAAGAGAAAAAAGACAACTAAAATCTACATTGGAAAAAGCAGAAAATACAGCTTCAAAGTGTGCATGGTTTGAATTGAAATATTGTTGCACCTCCTTGTCTGTATTATAAAGACTTTAAGTGAAGGTGAAATCACTCTGACAATTGAGATAATGTGTAAAAGTGTTTGGAGTAGATTGTCAGGCAGTAGGACTGGCTTTAGCTAACTTGCCTTAACAGAAACATGATAAAATTCTTTCTCCACAAGTCTGGCAGTGGGTTGGAAGACAAAAGTGCCAAGAAGAAGTAATTAGTCCCACATAATTAAGAGAAGCTGAGGCAGAAGTGCCGGGTGGCTGCATGGCGTGTGGGGCTGCACAGGAGCCCAACACAGACCCCCAGACCACCCCACACCTGCTTAGACTCATGTGAGGAAATGCTTTCAACATGGTAGCAACCTTAGCAATGCCCTTCTAAGTGCTGGAGAAAGATATACTTTAAACCTTTCTTCAGCTCTCAGGTACCTTTCCACAAGGAAACAGTGGCAAAGCTTTCTGTCCTCAAAGGCACACCTGGCCCTGAACCCTCTCATCAGATCAAACCTTTTCAGGGAGAATATTATTATTGCTGTTGTTTCACTGTTTTAAAGAACCACACAGGTGAAGAGGTAGACGCCTCACTTCATATTCATGTTCATATGATAGTAATGTAAGGCCACTGTGCCCTTGTGTTGTGCCCTGCCTGGCTGTGGCTCTGGGGGGTGTGAGGAGGGTCTGGCTGGAAATGGGGCCTTCCTCCTGGTGCGAATACCTGCTGTGACCAGGCTACCAGCTCTCAAACGTGCTTGGGCTTACACAGGCGTTCACCTCGTTTTGCTGGGCTGCCAGGGCACCTCTGAGGCTGAGGCATTTGTGCTCTGGCTGTTGCCCAGCAGCCCTGTGCCTGTGGAGAGGGGTCAGGCCTGCTCTGGACAGAGGCCATGGCCTGCAGGTGGCATTGGAGGTGGCACTGCGCCTTGTCACACCTGCCACCTTGCTGTCTTCTCCTTGGCTTCCTCAGCACTGGGGAGCACGGCACATCAAGCTGGGCCCTCTGGACCCAGGCTGTGGAAGGGTGTTTAGTTCCCCCCAGCTCAATGCCTTCCAGCGCCAGGCATCGGCAGCAGTACTGGAGATTAGGCTGAGTTGGGCTCCAAAGCCTGCTGCTGTTTCAGAAGGCCACTGCGATCTTGCTGAGTCCACTTTCTGAAGACAATAACATTTCTGAATAGTCCCTGTGAACTTGTTCCTGCCTGCAAAATCTGGATCACTAGTGTTTCAGATGAGGCTGGCTTGGCTGCATTTTGTGTGGTGAGTGCAAGAAACAGTTCGTGCCCTGTTGCTTTTGCTGTCATATAGGCAAATTTAGAATGGAACTTGATCCAGTACACTCAAATGAATTAAAATTCCTAAGTTGTAACTTCTACTGTAAAATCTTTTGGCATATAATGGGGACAGTGAAGATAATTTTAAAGTGGTAGGCAACAATGCTACATAAATTAATTTAACACATGAAATCATTTCTGTTCTCAATTGTATTATATTAAAATTTGACTGCAGGTAAATTGCTGTAGTTAGTATTAAGCTAAGTAATGTTTTTATCTTCTTTCAGAATTCTGCTTTACTGATTCAATTAATATGATTTGAACTGTCAAGGGCAGGAAAAAATTGAATCCTGACTTGCATTTTCAGATAGTTTAGTAGTTTTTGAATTATTTAGGAAAGCTCAAAATAAAAATGAAATGGAAAAATATATCAAACCCCATGTTTCCTTTGGTAAGAGTTTAGCCCTTTGGGACTGTAGTTTACTTGTACTTGTTGTACTTAAGGTTTTGCAAACCCAGAGAAGATTATTTAAGCTAAATCTTGGTTGCCTGACTTGCATGGATAACTTTATAGAAGTAATAGGGTTTTATGGCTCACTGTTGAATTAGGCAATTAGGACTTGCTGGATAAATTTAAACATCTTTTCAGCATAAGGTGCCCAATTCTAACATGACTGTAAGCAGATGGCATCAAGGATGGTTACTAATTCTAATGCCTTTCTCAGAGCTGTTCTCTCTTCTGCTGAGTTTTTCTAGAATGACTATGCATGACATAAACTTAGGGCATGGTTCTCTTCTATTTTGTAGTTTACACAGAGTGAAAAGAGAGAGGTTTTTTTTCATATTTACACTTTAAGTGATCACATTGCAGGACAGGCATTAGGAATTCAATTGGATTATTGACTCCTCATAGTAAAATTTATTTTCCTTAGTATGTAACTTTTGAAAAAAATTTTTCCATAAAACAGATATAGAAATTTTTGCTCCTCCATTCAGCAAGTATTTAATTACATGGTGATTTATGCATCAACTTTCTACCACTGTAATCAAAGACACTTAATATTCAAACTGATTTATACACATTTTCATAGATATATAACTGGATGTACAATGACCATTTGGGAAGTACTATAATGAAAAATGTTCTGAAAATGAAAATTGAAAACCAGATATTTTAAAATGTGTTTTGTTTGAAAGATGAGTTTAAATACATGGAGAAGTTTCAACATGATAAAGCTTATGCAAGAGGCCCATAGGACATGCCACAGTTCAACCTTGGAGATTTTTGCCTCCTGATTTTGAAATCTTGGCTTAATGTGACCCTGAACTATACCAAATTGTATGGTTTAAGATGGATTTAGTTGACTTTCACATTCATTTGAAATGAAAAAAAACAAACCCCATGGTCCAAAAGAAACAGAAATGAAAAAAGGACTTATGTATTATATTTAATACAGGAAGAGTGATTGAAAGGAATGTTTAGTTTTGCTATTCTATGAGCTTAACTCGGTGTCAGAGGAACATGCAGACATAATTTAGGAAATGTGTAGAAGCATAGGATTCTTGAAGTGAACATTCCAAAAAGCAGAAGAACTTAATTTACACTTTTTATACACTTGTGGTCAGTGAATCAGAGATAAACAAGCTACCACTGAAAATAAAAATTATTTTTCCTGCTAATTTAAGAATTTATACACATTCTTCCATGACATATTTTTTTTAATCTTAAAATAGTACCATACATTTCTTGTCATCTGGCCTAAATATAAAGGTGTGTAATTTAAGTCACTAGACCATCAGTAGCTGTGAAAGCGTATATGTGGCATTTTTCTTCAAAAGCCACTTTAAAAGAGACCTCTCAATTCAAGGGGCTTTCAAATCTCTGTTTGCTAAGCTATTTCCCAATTTTTTTTAAACTGCTTGTCTTCAAAAAGAAATCATGGACTACATTCCATGGATTTAGGAGAGACAATGAGAATGAAGAGAGAGGAAACATCTTTGTAACTTTTGCTGATTGCATGAATATACTAGCACATGGAGAAAAATCACACTTCAACAAAGTTTACACTAAGCATTTCACCATTTCACTAGATATTTCACTATTCATTACACAAAGCATGTCAGTGGAGTTGCTGAGGATATTTTCTTCAGCAGGAGAGAAAAAGCATGTCTCTGTGTTGGACCAGTGAATGTACAGTCTGCACATTACTGATTTAAGAGAAATAAACTTAGTCCCTGAAGTACAATTTCATACAGTAAAAGACAATCTAATTTATGTAAATATAGGAGAGAATAGTACATGCAATTATATTTGATCACCTGATATCTTTTTCCCCCCAAACACCTATATTAGCTCAAAGAATGCTGGCCCCAATATTTGCTATATCCCTATAGAGAAGATCAACACCCTGATTCCATTAGTCTTCATGGAAAAGAAAAACAATATTTAGTGTACATAAGCCTGGCATATTTGGGCCCTTAATATTTTCAATGCACCTTGGAGTCATTATCTTTAGCTGGCTATATTTAGATTTGTTTACAAAGTGATGATTATTAGTATGAAATACTGAAAAAATTCCTTTTTTAGTACACCAAAGAACAGAGATTGAGTTTTTACCATACCTTCACTTGCGTGACGGTCCCTAAAAATGTTCTTGGGATGGACATTAAAGCCTTCTATGTCATGTACTGAAGAGGCTCTCCGTATACTACAAATACTTTCCTTTGATCTGGAATGGGTTAGTGGATTGCTTGTCTGTATCATGTCAGGGTAAAGTCTGTCCCACTGCTGCTTAGGTGATGAGTGGTCAAGAGGTCCAGATATATTAACCAAAGGTGAACATTTACTGTGTTGAATCAGTGCTTTTGTATCATCCACTTCTGAAGGACTACAGCTTTCTTTTGTAGGTGATTTAAAGTGCTTCATTGCCACTGAGTCATCGCTGTGCTTAGATGAATCGATTATGACTGCGTCGGGGTCTTCCTGGGGTAAGGACTGCTTTCTGTATGTTAGAAGTCTCAATCCAGGTAGCCGGAACCCAAAAAGTCTGCCTACATGTAAATACACAGAGACAGAAGAAAATATTACACATTAATGTCTGATCATTAAAATCAGCTTTTTTCACAGTGGAGTCATTTTTTTTACAGTGAATGATAGTATCTATTCCTAATACAATAAAATTCTTAGTAATAGAATGTTTAAATATATAAATATGATGTAAGTCCAAGTTTGTTATATTTGGGGTGTTAAAAGATTTCATAATTCAGACAGACCTAAGCTTTTGAGTATAGAATGGGACTAGCAGCATTAATTCTACAGCCTATTTTAAGAGCTATGAGGTTCAGATGGTCCTTTCTAAATTAAAAATCTATGTATCTATAAAAGTCTGCCAGAACATGTCTAACTACTTTGCTTGGTAGTTGTTATTGTGAAATAGATATTTGTGGATTCTATTATTAGTGGAACTCCATGTGTTTATAAATGTACTGCTAATATATGCATTTATTGGCTACAGATTAAACAGGAAGATACCAGTGCTAATTTCTTGGGATAGAGAGTTAATCTTTATATCAGTTTTGTTACAATCCTCTCCAATACTTACATCTGATGATTAGATGAAACGATTTTAATGAGTTTAAAATGAAAAGTAAAGGAGCAAAGTGAAGAAAAAACAGCATCACAGCTCTCAAAGTTCAGTTGCACCCATACAATCCAATTATTGTTTACATTTGCATGGGATGGGCTGAGTTGGGCTTGGTGTATTGGCAGGGGAGACTATCCTGAGTGTGTGGATAACTAATACTTCGTGTAATGGTAAGAAATATCAGCAGCTGAGAAGAAGAGTATAATATGGTGCATAGAAAGAAACTATAGAGGAAGAATTGCAAAATTTATATAATACCCTTCTAAAAATCCAAATTGAATAACAAATATTGTAAGGCTTTGTGTAATATAACTCCTAGATGGAGGCACGGGGACTTCAGATGTACAGAAAAAAATATAAAACTGTTTAGAAAAAGCAATGCTAAAGAAAGTTTAGCAAAATAATTTAAATAATTGAAATGATCAGGTGTCATTTTATAAACACTGACTTAATAACTTATTGTATCTCATTGCTTTGCTACATAAGTGTTTTCAACAGTGAATCAACAGTGAAATGATTTCTTAGAAAATATTTCAAAGTATCTTCTTACTGGGATAAGAAGTTCTGTTTGGGATAAGAATTTTTTTTTTTTCCAGTCAGTTTAAAGTGCCTAACATTTGTCAATATTTACCACTGAAATCTATCGTTCCATACTGACATGTTTTGGAATAGTCCTTCTTTTATGCCTATGGTGACAGTAATTGGAGAACAACGGATGACCCATCTTAATCATTTAATGTTTTAAAATGCATGTCCTATATATTTAGTATTGAAAATGGAATTGCATTTTGAATTCTAAATGAATGAAGGTGAGAGTACCCTGCTCAGGAAAACCTGTCTAAGAGCTAAAGCTGCTGTACTAGATGATGCCAGAGGTCCATCTAGCACATGACTGGACCTTGATACTTTCCAGTGGTGGATACATGAAGAAGGAGATTAAGATCACTCTACTGTGTTACTTTTTTCAGTAAATTTACTCAGTTTCTAGCTATCTGAATTTCAGAAACATCCTGAGCTAAAGGTTGTTTGTTCAAACCACAAACTGAATATTTGGTGTACCTTTCTTCTATGAATTTGTCTCCATGATTTTTAAAAATGGTTGTAGTTTGATCTGCAAAGCATTCTATAGGAAAGAATTCCATAATTTTAGCATGTTTATGAAAAAATACTTCCCCTTACTTGCTATACACTTATTGCCTTGGGTAGGGTTCTAGCTCTTATAAAAAATAGCGAATAATTGCTCCCTTTTTATAGTGTCAATATACTCTCTATATGTTTACAGTTTTTCATACATCTGCTGAATTAGTCTTTGTATACCTGTTCAGCAAGCTGAAGAATGCTTGTGTAACTGTATTGTGTACCTCTGATCATCCTTTTCACTCTTAGTTATTTTTTATTTCTAATGTAATCCTTTTTGACAAAGGCCTGAGCTACTCCCAGACTTAGGGATCAATGCAGTGATATAGTGGATTTTTGTTTTGACCTTAGTTTGCTTCCTTATAATTACTAATATTTCATTACATTATTGAATTATTTTTCTAACTGTGTTAATTTAAGATATCTCTACAACAGCTGAGAATTCTTGTTTGGTAATAGATAATTTAGTCTCTAATATTGTGTCTGCAAAAAATTTCTTTTGCTGTTTTATCAGTTGGCCACTCAGCTTCCTTGCATAAGTTTTTGAATCTCATGTAATAGTCTGAATAATTTTTTAACATATACAAACATTCTCACCTCATTGTTGGCACCTTTTTTATCCAAGTAATTTAAAATGTATTGATATTGACTATTGATAACATCCAAGTGTGTAGAAATCTGGTGATTTATTTCCAATTTTTTCCCCCTACTTTAAAATATAAATCCATGTAATGATCTTACTTTTTTGGCCTTGACAATTTTTGAAAAAGTTTCTTAAATTCTAAATATTTAGCATTGAATTTTTCACTCTAGCTATATACACACAACAGTAAAATAGACAGAAATCTCTGTTACATAAACCAGAGTCATGCATCTTTAAAACAGCAGGTAAAGGTGACAATTTTCGGTCTACACAGTGATATTCAGCAGAGTGCACCTTGGGAGTGTGTATATTTCTTCTAACTTGCTAAGAATTTCTTCTAACTTACTAAGTATGCTTTAATTCTACAACTGCTCACAGTTGAAATTAGTGAAGAATGTAAAAAAAAAAATAAATTATTTTTAAAAGCACATAGAACTGAGCAGTGAAGCAGCTAATAAATCAGTTTTGAAAGCTTATTGCATCCAAAGTGTAATTAAATCTATAATTCTCTTTTTTATCAATTACACAGAAATTCTTAAAAACACCATTCATAAGGATTTCTGGCATTAGACACAGTTCAAGGCTTTTTGTTGGCACTCTATTTTAGTCGTATTCATGGTGCTGCAGATGGTCTTTTCTGCCTCACCACGTTAATATGACCATGTTATAATGCATTACTGATTTAGCTGTCTAACTGCAGTTCAGCTGGAAAGAATACTCAGTGAGAATTTTGCCTCTTCCTAGGACTTTTGGACATGAAATAGAAAACTTTGATGAGCAGCTTTTTGCTTTTCTTCTATACACTGTAATAAATAGTCTCACCCTATTTCCTGCTTTTTTAATTTTCATATTCTTAAGAGAAGGAGTATTGCTGTTCTTCAGTGAACAGGTAATGAGCTACATGGTGCGTTGGACATTCATCTCTCTCCTGTAGCTAAAGTTATCAGGGGCCCCATTCAGAATTTGTGTAGTTTATTGAACTGAGCTGAGCAAGGAAGTGTAATAACACAATTTGTCATGTTGCAAAATTCTTTCAGGCCTCAGGCCTGCTGTCCCAGTATAGACTAAAAGTACCAGTGGAAGCTTTCCTGGCATCCTGTGTATGGGTGAAATCTTCTGTTTGGGAATGGACAATCCCGGCTTTGTGTAAATATGATGTCAGAGCAGATGGATCATGGCTTAAAATACTCAAACATGTTTCAGATGCAACTATGAATCCTATGTACTATAAATTCAGAGATAATGTCACATTAAAGTCCTTATGTTTTATTAAAGACTAGATTGCCAAATTCTTCTTAATGCTGAGTCAGAGATTTGTATGATTGTATCTTCCTAAGAGCAATTGAGGAAAGCAGTTGAGGCTGAGTCACAATTCCAGACTTATATTCCACCTCCTCCTTTCAAACCTTGCTTTACTGTATAAGTAATTTGCAAATGAGTTAATCTGTTGGTCGCACTTATTCTCTGTGCCATCTCAGCTGTTAAAGTTTCTAAATAGTAGAACTCAATCCAAAAATATCACTGTAGATGATGCAGGACTCTTCTAAACTGTTTGCAGATAGAATTGTCTCCAAAGTCTCAAATTCAAATTGACTTTTCTTGTGTTCGGGAAGCCTTTTATAATTCTGTTTCATATTTTGGGAGATCAAAGGAGAAGACATAGAATTCATGGAAGCAAAATGTTTTGATTAATAGTTTCAGGGGAAAAAAATGCAGGGAAAAATCCCATCCTGAGATTAAAATAAAATAGCCTTGTTTTTAATAGAAAACATTAATATAAAATTGCTATTAAACACTAAATACAACCATATATAGTTTTATGTCAGGAGGGAAAAAAAAAGGAAGAATGAAACTTAGTTCCCAAAAGACCTTATAAACAGCTGCAATCATGGTTGCAAATTTCCTGCCCCATCAATACAATAAATAGGGTATTCCAGCAAAAAATACCTGAAAAAGGATTTATTTTGTAACCCAATACACTTTCATGGCTAGTGATTCTTGTGTCTGTTCTGTGCAAACATTTCATTAAAAGGAAGGGAAATTATATTTGGCCTGAGCATTGCCTTGATACAGTGAAGATATTCCCTAAATTTCTAGTGATGAAAATGTATATTTACATACAAGACACAGTGGATAAGTCAGAGAAATGCCTGCAACTGAGAGAGTTTTTTCTTCTCTGCAATTTCTTTAGTGGTCTCTGGGTAGTAGTAGATGCTATGTGTTGTCTCCCAAAGTCTGTTTAGCCCATGTCAATGGGCTGACTGCAATCCTATCCCAAGCACTGCAGGAGGGTAGTCCTAAGAGATAGTAGCTGAAAAGTTGTGATGACTCCTCAAAGAATAGCTCAGCCACTTTTTGTAGCACCACTAGTATTATTGTTATTTTCATGCTGAAACAAAGCAGTTATCCAAATCCCAAAATGTAAAAGCAAAAGGAAAAATACTAGCTGGTCTCAGGCTCCCTAACTAGCACCTAGATTTAGTCTATTTGTCTAAATCTTCTCTAGATTTAGACTTTCCAAAATTAAATCAAAGGAGCTCAAACGCACAAAGGGTTTGCAGAAG